TATTTATTACTAAGATACCACGTGAAAATACAAAAAATGTCTTTAAATTTCAGAGATGCATCTTCGGACGAACTCTAAGTCAATAGAAGTCTAACTTAATCTAAAAAAACTACGGAGATACATCTTCGTAAATATTACGGAGATGCATCTCCAGGCGCTACTTATACATAACGCATCATAACACTTCTTATTTCTTACGTGTTAAAAAAATAAAGTTTTCTCTAAAACTCTCTCAAAATTACATTGTCTCAAAATCAATCAAGCAACATCAAAGTTTCTTCAATCATCATCGAACGACATCAAAGAGCTCATTGAACTACATAACTTCAAAAATTCTTCACTTCTTGTAAGCTTTTTATTATTGGAAACTTTTTTGAATTTTTGTATAAATTTTTAGAAATTGATTATTAGATATTAAAATACATTGTTTATGCATGTTTGATAATTGATACGCTATGAGAAATGTGTTTCATAGTTAAAAATAACAATCAATGCATTATTTTTGGGGGTTTAGTGGTCTCGTTTGTTAGAACAAGATTTGTTTATGACGTGTTTCTTAGATTTTGATGATAACAAAGTATTAAAAGAATAATGGTTATATTTGATGTGTATTTCTTGTATGCAGGTTCTAATACTTGTGTGTGTGTATATATATATATATATATATATATATATATATATATATATATATATATATATATATATATATATATATATATATATATATATATATATATACACACAGAGAGAGAGAATCTGATATACAAAGGCACACTTGAGAGAAGTTGAATTTATAATTTCTGGTGGTGCAGAATCTGAAGAACACTCTTCAAGTGATGTCTGGCGTAGACTCTGAAGTTGAAGGTCTCAACATTAGAAGAAGCAACATAATTGTCTCTACAATTGGTGAATGTAAATTGGCTTCTGGTGATCATTCAGAGTTAGTAATAAAGTTGAAGTTATTCGTACTCAGAAAGCAAGTTGCATTGTCAAATCAGTTTGCCAGCTAGACTCGTAGTTCACAAGACTCAAGAAAAGTTAGCATGCTTTACGGATATCTACTTTCAACGGCTCTATAGTACAGGATATCTTTAAAGACTCATTGGTTAAACATGATACACAATAGATCAAGATCTTTTGGTGTATCTATCTTTAACATCTCTTGTACTATGGAATAAGCAAAGACACTTAATCAAGTTATCTCTTCAACGGTTAGTCTTCTACAAATGTTATATAAGTAGCTGAAGGTTCAAACTGAATCTTTAACAAGGATCAACCTGATGGAGGAGTAACAAGATCAGCAATTATCAATGCAAATGGTTATGCAGAATTTTTGTTGTAGGTTGTAATTGTAAAAGCCTTAAGATTTATTACACATTGAATATCTTATAAATCTTAAGAGTTGTATGTATTTGTTATGGTGATTTCTCCGTACTTCTAATATTTGTATCAAGTACACCTTATTTTTTATTCTGCGAAACATGTTGTTTAGCAGTTTAGATCAAAGTGTCTCGTCAAGATGCTTCAGCCATGTAAGTCTTCTGCTATGTGCTAAAGCAATGAAAGTCTTAATCAAGCCCGGTTGATAGAGACGACACAATGAGTCACAATAGGATTGCACAACATGCATCTGTCTGAAGGGTAAAGAGTCAGGTTTTTGAGACTTCTGTTCTCTCTATCCCCGTTGATGTGGAGGTGTTGACTTTTGGGACTCATATATCTCCACATTCTTCTTTTGTAGGAGACAGGTTTCACCTAGTGGCACATCACTACCTCCCTCTTTCCATAGGCGATAGGTTTAACCTATTCAGGCACCCAAGGCGCCAGTGGTACCCAAGTCATCGGAGGTACCTGAGGCACCAATGTCACCCCATGCACCAGAGGGACCTCAGGCTAATGATTCAGTGCCACCTCAGGATGATGAGGCTGATGAGTTAGTGTCACCTCACGTATTTGGAGGAGACTCGTTAGAGTTGTCACTATCGCCTTTTTACCTCAACCATACTGCCAGAAATATCTGGGACAGAGAGGTAAAAGTAATTGGATTCATTCTTTTTAAATTACGTTTATTAGTATATTACACGTTTTTTACGATCATCTATTTTTCTATGGGATTATGATCCATTGAAATTCCATGGGAGGAATATTACTGGCATGCATCAACCTAATGATGAGTGGTTTCAAGATGCTTTACAGTTATCTGGGATGAAGGACTTATGCAAGACAAAATATGTTACGGTGAACCACATAATGCTTAGTTCATTTGTAGAGAGATGGCATATTTAGACCTCATCATTTCATCTACCAGTTTGTGAGATGTCTATCACACTCGACAATATGTCGTGTTTGCTGCATCTTCTGAATAGGGGGAAGCTTTTATATCATTGGAGGAATGGAAAATATGAAGCATTTGAGTTAATGGTAGGCTATCTATGAGTTGACCCAGAGGCTGCCTTAAGGGAGTTTGAAAAAACCAGAAGAGCTCATGCTAGGTTTGAATTCCTTAAAAGGTATATGTAAATGAGCTACTTAGAGCATAGCAGACTAGAGGTGAAGAGGAGCAGGTGGGGCAGCATAGAGCGTGTGTTATGAGATACTACCTATTATATTTGATTGGCACTGCCACTTTTGTGGATAAGAGTGCCACTTACGTGGATGTCCTTTACCTACGATGCTTCAAGGACTTTGAGTGGATCCATATGTACAACTGGGGGCGCTTGTTTGGTTTACTTCTACTCTAAGGTTTCCAAGGGTTGTATGTGGAAGATGAAGCAGGTGATAGGAAAATCACACTTTTCACAATAATATTTATTGGTCTTTTAGTGTTTGTGTGTCATTTTTATTATATTTTTGCAACGCTCTTACTAATGATTTGTGTGTCCCAACACTTTTCAGACTTAGATCATGCTCATGATGTGTTACCTAGATGTCATCGTATTGTGGAGATTGTGTAGGCAGACATTGACAGAGGTGTCTTTCCTAATGGTTCTGAGGTGAGGGAGATCCTAGATGTCATTATGACAGAGGCACGAGAGGCACTGATGTACCGGAAACAGTGTCAAAGGACAAGGGGAAAAAGTGGTTGAAGACCCCGGGTGGCTCTAGTCCGGCATACGTAGTAATTGATCGTATTTGTAGTTTGGATTTATGTTCAATAGTTTTTTATTTTTACATATTTCAACGTCATTGTATATTTTGACTTTATTTTTTATGTCATTATGACTTATTTTGACTCCGGATTTATGTCATTTTTTGCATATCGGTTGTATATGCTCATCACATAACAAGGGTATTAACATTTATGAATCATCATTTTCATTTGAGTGACCATGAAATTAACTTAACTTGCACTTTTTTTACTGGTTACGAAGATGTATCTTCGTAAACCCTAATCAGAGATGCATCTCCGGATTAATAAGTGTTTAAAATGGATCTTTCATATAGGAATGCATGAAGTATGTTTTGAAATATTTTGTAGATACATATTTGGATCAGTTGTAACATTTTGGCTTAAAACAATGTGCGTCTGAATATGCATCTCTGAAATCAGATGGGCATTATGACTTTTCTATATGGTGTTTTTCCACCCCATAGGATAGGATAAGAAATCCCCAAATTTTTTTAATCTAATTCTAGAATGTCTGTTACCCATTAAAAATAGCTCATATGAACCACAAGTAGTCTGTTTGCCCGACATAATTAAAAATCTAAAAAAATATTAATATTTATGTTGTTTCACTCAAAAATCATACATTAAATTATCACACTCCGCTAAAGTCATCTCTTATATTAAATTCAAATTTTTATGTTAAATATTATACATTAATATAATATAAAAAAATATTTAATTATTTTATATTTTACTTTACAACTAGCTATTAATTTATGTTATGTTGAATATTTATATATAATTTTAAACAATTTAAAATTTGTACTCTATCTAAAAACATGTTAGAAACATGTCAAGTTATTTTAAATATATAATATAATATTTAATCAAATATATTATATTTAATAAAATATATTTTATATGATAAATATTATTAGAATTTTTATTTTATTTTTTATAAAAATAATAAATAAATTGCCTATTTAGCATGTTTCTAGTAATACATCTTAGGTTTCAACTCCTATTGCAAAAGGGATTTTTGGATCCGACTTTAAAGAGTGGCGTAATCCGGGATTTTTGAATGCGATTTTAAAGAGTCGGGTAACTCATTTTGACAATTCACGTTGCTTATTCACTCATTCATTAAAATTAATATTCTTTTTAAGCTATTAAAATACTTTTGTTATTTTTTAAGGGTGATGCTAAAAGGTATCTTACCGTAAATATAGAATTTAAAAAAAAATAATGCATTATTTTAATTGAAAGTTAGATAACTAATTTCTTTTTATTATTTTTTTCAAAACAAACTTTCCATTTTTAAATTTCTTAACATGTTAGCATTACCCATTTTTCTTAAAAAGTATGACATTATCTTTTATAGAGTTCTATTTCAGCATCTTTTAAGAGAGTGTTGTACTAAAAAAGTATGATATTACCTCTGAATCAAAGAACAAAAACTTCTTAACAGTCCATAAGATCCCAAACCACAGGAAGTAACCCATTTCCGGTTCATGCTCACTCCAATCTGCACTTGAAACACTCATATATAGGATTCTATTTCCATACTCTACTTTAACAACAACAACAAAACTACACACACAGTTTTTCATGTTTTAGTTTCTGACAAAATCACTTTTTTTCCTGTCTACAAGTATACTTCCAGAATCATGAGAATTAAAACATTGCATCCATTTTACTAAGAATGAGAATATCAATACTAGTCAAGAAGAATATATTTTCAAATTTAGAAGGAAAAAAATGGCACTATACTAATGTAAGTCGCCACAAACCGGGCTTCAAGTGAGAAAACTTAACCTTTCCTTCTAGTAACAAACTTTGGGGGGTTAGACATTACAGAATACAAGGAAGCTCTCTATAAAAATAGACATGATTACCATCTATCCATAACCATGTCATTGCCAAACTCCCCATCTTCAAGCTGATCGCCTTCTCTGTGAGAATCGCGGTGGTCTCTCCTGTGTCGCTTATGCCGTCCTTCATCCGAGTCATGACCAGAACTATGCTGCTCCATTCATCCCAAAACAAACAATAAATGAATAAACGAAATCTTACAAAAACTGATAAATCGTGAAAAACAGTCAAGTGACAAATTTGCATACCCGTCTGGATTTTTTGCGGTCGCTACTGTGACCGTGAGATTTCTTCGTCCTTTCTTTATCAGTTTCGTGAGAAACATAGTCCGGACTTTGATGCTGCTTCCTTTTGTTTTCTTTAGACGATTGGATATCATTTAAGTCCATACTGTCACTGTCTGTTCTATCTCTCTTATGCGTATCCTCTTTCCATCTTTCACGCCCTCCCTCTTTTTCCCTTCTCTGCTTTGCTTTCCTTCTTTCTCTTTCCTCCCTATCTTTATCCTTCTTTGCCTAAACAAGATTTTGTTTTCAGAACTTATTAGCTACCAAGTGAAAGCTTTTACTTTACCACAGATGAAACGCTTCATAAAATGGATGACAAGCATAAAACTTAATTTTCAAATATGGGTGAAATGAGTAGAATTCATACCCTTTCCTCTTTTCGTTTCCGCTCATTCTCTTTTGCCTCTTCTTTCAGTTGCGTAACGTATTCCTCAAACATTTTCTTGCAGAGGCTCACATCCCCAATAGATCTAGAAAAGCATATACAGCCAGTAAAAAGTAAAATCAGGAAATATAAACTTTTTCGCCAAACAGCCAACCACAAAAAAGTTATAGCGGAACAGAAAATTGCAGTAACTGCTATACCAAAAATGACTGATACAATAACATTAGTATATAATACACAAAAACTTCGAACCCAGAAAAGTACTCAAACATTCATCTTTAGCACACAATAAAAAACCCTGTGTTTTAAAATTCTGTACCATAAAATATCAATACTCAATAATTTTGATACGTTAGGTTCAGCACTGACAAAAATTAATTTTGAATTAATAGATTTTGTAAAATTGATTTTACTAAATAGTAAAGTGATTAATACTTGAACGCATTTATATAAAAGTGAGTTGAACAATAAATATCAGTGTAAAAATCACGTTTAAACTCAAAAGCTGCAAATCGTAACTTCAAGTTAGAATCAATTCTGAAGACAATCACTTCTACTTGAAAGCAACCAAACTTGTCAAAATCAATTTTAGACCTCCAGAATTTTTTCTATTTGCAAACGTGGAACCAGCATTGAATAATTAATAGCAAGTATTGTAAGTAAAAGCAAACAAAAAACAAAATAGAAAAATGTTTAAGTGGGACGGTGGCAAGGACGGACCTGAACTCTTGGTTATCTTCAACAAGTGGCCTAAAATCCTCCCACTTTGAAGACTCGGAAATATCCTGCAACATTTAAGCAAAACAATAAAAATATTTAGTCTCCAATCATTACAATGTGACACTTATTAGTTAATGACCGCAATACGCCACCTTGGTAGAATATAGTAAATGAAAGAAATCATCTGCAAGACGTTTACGCTTCTTAGCTTCCTTCTCCTCCTTCTCCCTAGCTCGTTCCAGTAGCTCTTCAAACACTAACTGCAGGATAGCACAGAATCAGACCAGACTTAGAGAAAGCATATTTTCCAAATCAAGAATAATTAAAACTAAAGACAAAAGAAATAATAAAACCTTCTAAAGAGATGGGATATCCTTAAAAATATTATTTCATGTTTTATGCTTTAAAGCTAGTTTTTAGATTCATAGATATAAATATATGGAAAAATCACAAGTTCAAGCAGAACTGTGAGGAAAACAAGAAATATAAGAAAAACTTGAGACGCCACTCATCGTACGGCACAAATTGGCAATTGATACCAAGATGTAAAAAAATTCAGTATTCATGGTTGTGTGTATATATGTCACTCGTGTACCTACCTTAAAATTGTTATCAGATACAGGCGGAGAGTTAACGTGTTCTGATAAAGCTGATTTGAAGTCTTCAAAAGTCCAGGTTGTTGACAATGTGATCTGAGAAGTAAGATATAATCGTATATGTCAGAAAAGGATTATTAAACAGAAACCACAAAGGAACAATCCCTCATACCTTTGCCAACTTCACTGTATCTTTTATCTGGCTCTTTTCTTCTTGATACTGTAACATTAAATAAGAAGGAAGATTGAGTTTTGGTGAGAACAGTTATTTCCAATAACAAAGTTTATCAGGATGCATAAATGTAGAAGTTGTCCAGCTCATGAGCCGAGGAATAATATTGTCACAGCATATTAAGATATGTATAATGGAATTTATCATTAGTACCCAAATTGATTTTTTATTGCTGCGAGGAGAAAGATGCTATGGGGAGAAAGAATAAAAGAACAAAATATATTTTAATATGTTGAAAAATCATCCTAAGGGAGAAAGAATAAAAGGCAACTTGGATGGTTCAACGCCAACCATAAATACACTTGAGCATACTCACTTGTTTCTCTAGCTCTTCGGCAAGATCTTCAAACAACTCTTTTGGAGTTGAACCTGAGGTATTTGAAGCTACTGCTAGATAGGCTGGTAATTCTTTCACCTACAAGACCACCAAAAACAACATCATCATTTCGGCCACTGTAAAATAGTTAATCCAAGTCTCCAAGACAACAAATCAAAAAACTAAACTCTGCACCTTAACATAGAATACAGAAAACATAAACAAAAAGATGAATTGACATAGCAATAGACAGTTAACCTGTGAATGATAATCACGCCAGTGAGTTTTTGCTGTAAGAATGCCAGAGGTGATATGTTCATCCATCAATTTGCGGAACTCATCACGGTTTTTACGTTCCGTCTTTCTCAATTCTTCCTATTGTTTGAGAACAGAGATGAGATTATGCGATAAAATAAAGGAGGGGAATGAGTAGTCATACAGCCACTTATTGAGCATAAACATAACAGCACCTTCTGTATCTTTTTCTGCTCTTCCTCTTCCTTTTCTAAATCACGCAAATAATCCTGAAAAATAAAACATAAATTAAATTTGTGGGAAAGTATCACCAATTTTGGGAGGATGTCATCTAATTTGCTGTTATATAATTAGCTTCCATTGTTTCCTTAATTATGCAATTTCCAAAATTAAATATTGTAAACCTTGTGAGTGTGTGTGTGTGTGCGCGTCTGGCTGGCTGGCTGGCTGCGTGGGTGAGTGGGTGGGTGGGCGTGTGTGTGTGTGTTATATACAATTGATTGATTGTGTTGAGGGTTCTGTAATTTATTGCCCATTTCAAGGAGATTAGCGGAAAACATCAATACTACAGAAGTTAAATCACAATAATAGTCAACTTAAATTATGAAGGTAAAAGAAAGTTACTTGAAATATTTCCAAACGATCAATTTTCTCAAGTCGAGAACATCTTTCATCGGCCTCTAAGCGGTCTTGAACTTTTCGCCACTGCGTATTAGCCTATGGAGAAGGTGATGAATGCATCAATAGAAATTTTAGCATTATATGAACCTTTACAAACATAATGAATAAAAAAACATTTACCTTTATAAAGTCACAAGATTCCAAATATTTCCTGTATTCCACTGTATTTCGCTTCCGTTCCTCCAGTACCTTAGCCCGTTCCTAATGAAAATTTCACAGGTTGATATTCACTAATAACATTTCAAAATATTAGCAATTTTAATGCATTGAACACAACCTTAAAAAACATCCCTCATGTGCATAGGAAGTAGTCAAACAACCAGAAATATGTATGTAGGCTTTAAAACTGGTTGAACAATATAATGTACCTTGTTTGAAAGGTCTTCCAAGAAGCTATCGAACATATCCTTGCGATCTCTTTCTCGCTCAACGGCTTTGAAACGTTCATCATTTTCAAAAATAGCTATTGCTTTGCTGCATTGATTTCCCAAAATGAAATATCAATAGCAAGATTCAAAATATAGTTTGAAATTTTTGGTCAATCTAAGTCAAGAAAAAAAAAATCAAATTCAAATATCATGAAATACAAAAGAAACCTGTATCTAGAGGATGAAGTCAACTCAGTGGACTCCTGGAAAATAATTGTATAGATTAGAAACAAAAGTATGCACAATCAAAGGAAGTGTCATATTGCACAGTTATAAAGATATCACGAAGCAGATAAACCTACTTCCAACATTTTTCTAAAATCCTCCCGTGCTTTTTTGTGCCTCATACGCTTTTCTTCTACTTCTTGTTTTTTCCTTTGACTTAAGTACTGAAAATACAAAATAACGGTGCTATCATGTCATAAATATTAAGTTAATGATGCAGCACATTAGCCAATATAGATTAGCGATAGCAACTTTATAAGATCACTAATTTACAATAAAAGATAATGTATTGATCAATTTACTATCCTCTCCTTAATATACTATACCTAATGTATTACTATACTCTAATAACAATGATTAGATTAAATATCAATTTTAATAAAATTATCAATTTAAAAAAGTCAGGGCAAATGAAAAATTAGATTTATCAGAAGAGATATTAAGTTGTAACCAAAAAAGAAAAAGAGATACTTAGGATTGCAGTATAACAAATGGACAACAATTCTAGGATCAAAATATTTGACCCTGAATAAAGGCCAAGAACAAAGGAAGAAGAGTAAGTCCCAAGAAAAGTTAAGAAAAAGTTTCTAGTACAGGAAATTTAACTTCATCTCAACTTAATTGGCCAAATTATTGTTGCCAGAAGGAGATTTGAATCTTTTGATTTTAAACAGACCATAACAGGTCAAATATTCAAAGAACATTTTTTCAAAAAATTATATTTCGTATGAAGTAAAATAAGAAAAAGGATACTACAGTCATACATAGGTTGAATTTCTTTAGTATAAACCCAATGTACAGAGATTACACATCTACAAGCTTGATTCACAGATGATTGATCCCACTAACATAATTGTTGCTCGTTGAATACTGTAGAGAACACAACACAGAGGACAACACGATGCATGAACGATTGGGGAAGAAGGGTTTTAAACCTGACATTGTTTTGTGTGCCAAAAGTGGAGAGGATATCATTAAAATGTTAGCGAAGAGGTTGGAAAACTCAAGGGAACAGGATGAAAGATGGGCTTCTAACCCTATTTGATTATAACAGTCGCAACAGCCATAATCACTTGTGCGAGAGGCATGGAGCAACCGGCACTCTGTAGCAGCCTCAGTACCTCAGTAGGCCACACTATCTGGTGCTATAGCACCACTATAGTGCATAATTGTCTACTCTGGACGTGACTAGGGCCACAACAGAGAACTTACATGGTTACTAGAAGCAATTATCTTTATATAATTTCCATCATTAATACCAAAATACTTGATCAATAAATCCAAAAGAAGATTGATACTAAATAAGACTTTGCTCGTGACGGATGATAAATCAGAGCGAAGAATAATGGTAGAAAGAGACCTCTCCATGGTTAGATAAGAATTACCTCATTGAAAGCTTGCTTCCTTTCTCCAAGAGATTTTAAGGCACCATACCTTTTGTCATTAATAATTAATCGCATGGCCTGAACATCAATGTCAAGCAAATCAAATAAACAAGAGAAACATTCAAAAAGTAAGATGTTTTAAATAAGTCAAATAAAATATGTCAATGAATTGAGATCACTATACCCGATCCCAATTCCAGTCAGAACCAACATTTACAGACTCCAAGAGTGCTTTGAATGCATCTTTAGCTTCCTGAAAAGAAAACATAGCACATGCTAAATGTCCAAGAAAGATAGTGTTTCGGTGTGTCTGTGTGTGAGAGAGAGTTGATATATTGATATTTCGTTTGCATACCATCTTATTCACATAAACTAAGGATTCTGGCTCAACTGCCTTTGTTTCTGAGGCCACGTCATTAACATTTTCCCCTATTGAATCATTTTTTCCAGCCTACAAAAATAAAGATTTAATCATCTTCCTAACTACTAGAAGCTAAACTTTCCAAGAGACATTAAGACTACGATGAGGGATGCATACTTCTTTATCTTCTCCGGGAACTCCATCACCAGAAACTACAGTATCTTGAGCTGAAAAGTTATTGGCGTCATTCCTACAACATTTTCACCAGAAACAAATAAAATATACCACCAGACAAAAATGAAATCAAAGAAAGAAGATGAAACTAGCAGAATAGGGAATACTTTGGCGTTGCAGCAGTATTAATATCAGAAACAAATGCTCTATCACTTCCTACACTAACATCTGGTGGATTGATAGTATTTGTGGGTGCCTCAGGTTTATCAACTTTTGTTCCAGTTACAGCGGCTGCAGAAGGGGAGACATGTGATCCGGAAGTCATCTCAGATTGCTGATTAATTGGGGACGTGGTGACAACTGGAGCAACTGAAACAGGACTTGTTGGTTCATCTTGGCCAGGTAAAGATGAATTACCCGTACTAGGCATTGCTTCAGTCACAGAAACTGCAGAGGGTTGAGAACAGGGATTCAGTAGTGGCTCGGGAAGAGTTGCATTGACCTTTTCCTTTTCAACTTGCTCACGGACAAACTTGAAGCAAAACACAAATACGGAAAAGAAATGTGAGTACAGAAACATGTGGCATAAAATAACTCAGAATATTTAAAACGGTGTTGTTTTCAGTGATGGAAACCTTCAGTTCCTCGGGAATTAACCACTTTGATTCCTTTGTGACCTTGTTGTAATAATACCTACAGAATTTTATAAAATTTAGAGTGAAGAATCAGCAACAAGCATTACAAACAGAAGAAAAAGGAAAATTAACATAACCAAGACACACTTTCTTCCATCAGGACTTGTATACTCCTTCCAGTTTGTTGATGCATCTACCCTCTAACAAAGTGAAAAGAATTGAATAAGTTATCATAAATAGATTTCCTTCCAAAGAAATAATGTGATAGAAACAACAACAAATCCAAGAAATAATTGGGGGAGGTAAAGGATCAATTACTAACAAGCCAACTAATATCTTGCAGTTAGAAAACTAGCCTACTTCTCCCTAAGCAAAAAATAAATAAAAATTGCTTATTGACATTTATGGATTTTTCACTCCAATCCCAGATGATTCAGAGTTCTGGCCATTAGCAAATAAGAGTTGAATGGATATTTACACAAAATGGTGATCTGAAGATGCAGAAATTTAGAGGCCGCGCATTATAGAAATGTCAGTTATAGTCAGCCTCCACATTTCATATTGTTATTTCTCCTCCTTGCCAAATCTTAACAGAAAATCCAAGTGAAGCAAACTATTTCACCAGCAACCTTGACAGTCCTTCTTGTTACATGCACTCCTCCCAATTGATCGTACTGTATATATACAGGAATACTAAATGATTCATAGGCGGTGGATATGAAATCCTGAATCTTCATAATGTAACTACAATGTACATTTATACTAATAGTTCATAAATGAATGCAATGCAACTGCAAACTTTCTTAGCAAACATCATTTACAGTAACCTTTTTAAGATCCTAAAATCAAACAGCAGTAAACCACATATAGAAGGAATAGATAGCAACGCAACTTATTACTTCCATAGGAGAAAACCCAAGTTCTAAGGCACAAGCAGTACCTACAAAAATCAACACTGGTTTTCTTATCTACCATTTGTTCTACAAGTAGAAAGATTGGAAACATTTTTTTGGATGAAAATTTTGCCTAGCTCAACTCTAATACAAAGAACGATATTGGAAACTGATAAATCATGACAAAACTCTAAAGTAATTAACAATCTAGACAATGATGCAATGATAGAATTTACAAACTTCATAACAAAACAGTAGGTACAGCAAGCAGCAAAGACTCAAAGCATATCCTACCTCTCAACAGAGTAGCACAGCATGAACCTGTAAGCATCTTAAAGCTATGGGAGTCACACATATATAGATTTGAATAAAGTAAAATTGGAAGATGTAAAGTCCTAAAGACGTAAAAAACAGCCAACAACTCTGAAGTGTTTGAAGTGATACTATTACTATTACTAAAAATAGAAGACAGTAATTATATACAGTCAAAATCACATTAAGGAAAAATAAAAATATGTGCACACACATGAAGTGGAACCAGAGAGAGAGCACTTTATTTTCAGAAGCAAACTTTAACAAATATACATAAGGATCTATGAATCATGAATAAGCAACCATAAGTTAGAAGTTGGGACGCAAAGAAAGAAGTAAGAAACCCCAAGGAATAGAAGTGATTATTGTTTTTGATTTTAATGAGAATAAGTTTTACTCTATAACTTACATTTTAAAAGAATGTAATAAAAAACTATTCTACACTACAGCATCATCCAAGGAAAACAAAGCTGATATCAGACAGTCCAACCGGCAATTGTCACAAAACTGACCTTACAATAAGACGTAAAAGTCAAGATTGATGGTTGCCTGCCTGAGAGAAAACCCATTCAGTGAAGAGTGAGCTAATGTATCGGATTATTTTCACCACACATGAACAAATAGAAAGTAAATAATAATTAAACTTGAATATGTTGACCCAGCTAATATTGTACTTGCTAACCAAAAGAGATACAAAAGTCCCAACTTCCAACAGAAACCCAAAAAGTAAAAGATTCAAAGGCATGACCAGCGAACCATACAACAAAGTAAAGTGAAATTAATGGTATGACTCACCTCAATAGGTGACATCAATTCAAAAGGCTTCTCCCAGCTAGATAATTTAGTCCTCTTATTGTAGAAAAATCTGTAAAATAAAGAGAAATTTTATAAACTGAGACTTGTAAACTGTTATTACTAGAAAAGTTTGAGCATTACCCACAGTATTTAAAATTGTCCCAACTCACCGCATGAACATAAAGAATATTTATAAATTGACAGCAATCTCTCTGGCACCGACACCTCTGAAAAAAGCTGTGTCACTGTCTATGTCAGTCTACGACATCGACACTTGTGATTACGTCCAATTTATATTTTTTCAAGTTATAACCGATGTCAACATGTCAGTGTCGGTGTCGTGTCAGGTGTCTGTGCTTCATAGACAGCAACATAAGACCGGGGATAAGTCTAAATACTAAATACTAATGGTAACTTCCTGTTAATAGATAGTTCATTGAATTAATTTTTTATGACAATCAAAAGTTAAGAAGGATAGAGATTTAAACAACTAGCAATTAGTCCCAAGAGTGATGTTATTATAGAATTTTATTAAACATGTTGGAATCATTATAGATGTAAACAAGTTGGATAGCCAGTTTAGGTCAAATAAAAGAAACAAATGTTAAACCGAAATAAAATACGAAACACATCTGCAAAAAACTAGCATCTTCATTTGTAGTTTTCAACCATTTTAATTAAGAATAATACCATCAGGGCAAACTAACTAATAGCTGCAGTCTACACCCAAAGTATGCTTGGAGCCCATGATAGGTGAAAAAAGGACTACCGAGCAGAATGAAGACAGACACAAAATCCTAAAAGATAGAACTTCAAGCCCAATAGGCAATGATATGTACTAAGGAAATAGCTCATTAGCAACACTAGTTGTTATCCTCACCTATTGCCACTCCCACTCTCCTAACCCCTTACTTGTTTTCAACCATGGACTGTAACCTGGGATCACAAGCAGACAACATAATCAATTACCTTCTTCCAGTAGAGGACGCATGCTCGATCCAATCAGAGGAGCCAACGCTGGTAAGGTGTGGCTGGACGTTTGTAGCCTGAAAGAAATAAATTAAGAATGCATAAAATTTCCGCTGAGGCAATACACAGAATTTGTGTGAAATCAAAAAAAAAGTAAGACTCATACCGAAGGTATGACAGTTGTAGCTGTAGGTTGCTCGCCGTTACTCTGAGGAGTTGTACCAGGAGTAATGCTCTGGGACAAAGAACCAGTGGGAGCTTGGATTTGGGGAACAGGTTGGTATTGGCCAGTAGAATTAAAATTAGTTTGTGGCGCTTGACCATAAGACGATGGTGCAAACTGCATAAATGAAAACCTTGAATCAACACTTGTATGATGAAGTATTAAATTATCCACTATAAATACAAGCCAGACATTACCATAAACGATGAAGAAAGTGGCATTGCGGGGCCACCTAAACCTGGTGTATATCCATTTGGAGCTTGGGAATCAGGCTGTGGCATCATTGAATCGGACGGGGTTTGCATGTTTGGCCGAGCAATTGGCATTTGCATCATTTGTGGTTGAATTGGTAACTGCTGACCAACTCTCGGAGGAAACTGTTGAATTGGTTGAGAAAATTGCTGCTGTTGATTTTGAGGAGGCATTCCAACATTATACTGCTGGTGGTAATGTTGAGGAGGCATGGGAACAAACTGTTGCGGCTGTTGATTTGGAACACCGGGACGGAACTGCAGAAACAAATCGGGTTATTCAAATATACGATAATTTGACCTAAACCCAATACCATCACAGTTAGTAAAAACATAAAAGCATTACTTGGACAGGCATGAGTTGACCAAAATTGCGCTGAGGATCCATTGAACCGGACATCGGAGGCCGAAGTGGCTAGCACAACATACAGAAGAAAAAAAATATTAACATCAACAAAATAACATATAAACCAGCAAAATCTTTAACTTCTATAGGTACTCTACCTGTAAGCCTGGATATTGCTGATTATTATTCGACATCTGAGCACAGAAGTCTCCAATTCTGAATACTACCGATATCGCAGTCTACAAGAGTAAAAATTGATTCATATCTTAGTATTCCCCCAATACAATTACATATTATACATAACATTAAGCCAACGTATAAAACAGTGAAACTCGTTATAAACTAAAAGAACTTAGCTAGGTCACAGAAATTGAGACAATAATCAAATTCAATTTATAATTGTTTGTTAAAACAAAATAGCAGAACTATAAAATATAACCAATGTGCCACAAAATCAACACGGAACACAAGTTCAATCCATAGGGAAGCATCAAGATTGAATCTTTTTCACAACCCAGATAAAGAAAATTAGGTTGCAAGCAAAAAAAAGAATGCGGTTTACAATCTAAACAATAAAGAACAACATGTGAGATATAGATATAGATATAGGTATAGATATACATACCAATGGAGATGAAAAGAGGTTTATGGAGAAGAAAAGAGGTTAATTCCGCAGGGTTTTGGGGGAGAGTTGAAATTGAAACTGAAAGAGGGATTTTAGTTTTTTTGTTTTTTTACTGATCGAGATTGAGAAGGAGACAGACAGGAGTATAGGATTGACAGCTTGGTAAATGTCCTCTTAGATTCTTGAGAAAAATAAAAATACGTTTTTTATGAAGTTATTTTATTTTATTTTTTTCTTTTGGGCTTTTTATATAGTTTTAGGTTTTGAAAGGGGGCAAAGAGATGCTATCTACACCGTTATAAATTAATTAACTTTAAGTGATGATTAGTATGGATTAGTATTAATTGTTCTATAATAATTAAATAAATAATTAAGGGTGTGTTTGTTATATTGTTATAATAGAAGTTGTGAAGAAAGAGACCGTGAAATTGAAGAAAAATGATTGATTTTTCTTGTTTGGAATGTTGAGAAGTTGAGAAGAGATATATAATTTTTGTGAGACTCGCATTTTTTTTCAGTCTTCAATAACCAAAAAGAAATGAACAGGAACTCTCATATATTTTGTTCAATATCATTTTTAATATTACTTTTTAGATAAAACTAGTAAGATATTTGTGTGTCCGCATGTGTAAATTTATTTAATATAGTATAAAATATAGTTAGCTATACGTGTAATTTTAAAATGAAAAAAAGAAAATTTTAACATTTGAAAATAAAAAATATAACTCTCAATTAAAGGTAATTGTTGGTTAAAATAAAATAGATATTGTCCTAATAGAGACCCCTGAATGAAAAGTTAGTGGTATCCACCATTATTGAGTGATATTCAATTTGATACAATATAAAATATTTTTAGATACACTAGTCAATTTATAGTGTGTTACTTAATTGCAAAATGAACAATGATCAACAAGGTTGTATGTTATGGATTCTCACATAACAAGAACGAAAAGTTACGGATTTTCATGTAACAAAATGGCAGGTTTTTGCTTCTCACAAAATGACTCAAATGGTATCTGATAACTCACAGTTCCAAAAACAAGTTACAGATTATCACGTAACAAAATGGTAGGTTTTGACTTCTCATAGAACGAATCAAATAACATACGGTAACACATCAGATAAGTTTTTGAAAATTCATTATAACATAATACTAATCCGGGAATACATTGAGAGATAAAAGAAAGTGGACCTTAACGGACAAACATCAATCTTTTGTAGGTGCCAACAAAGTTGGACTATGAAGATGTATGTGAAAAAACGGATTATAGTTTAAGGGTTGATCTTACGGTTGATCAGAATTGGAGGTGGGTCAAAGACAAGCGTCTGTAATGTTGGGTGTCAAAGAGGAGGAGGGGGTGTATCTACAAGCCACTCTGATGCTAAAGTAAGAAAACGAGCAAGAGAGAGAGCAAGTGAGAAGGTTTTTATAATGCCCCAACGTTTGGCCATTGGTCCCTATTTTTGGGGCAAAATAACTATTTTCCGAATAATATGTAACTGCCAAAACTAGTCGTTGGGACAGACATACGTGCCCATAATTAACCGTTGGCACGGGCACAAGCGTTTTGTCTGTTTCTGGATGGTGGAATCGTCCATGAAGGGAAGAGACTGACAGAGAGGAGTGTTGTGACCAAGGATAAATTGGTCAACCTCCCCTGTTGGAGGGGCAGAAAGGTAAATTCTCCCCCCCAAAATGGTTGGACTTAGGCAATTTGGTCGTTCTGGGAGCAGAAGTGGATCGGGTCGTGCCTAGCTATTGGGTCAGTCCGGAACAAGGGCATTAGAAGCAATCTGGATTTTAAAAATGAATTATCATACGAGAACTGGACTTGAAGAGATAGACTACCAGATGGAAACTTGTGTTTTATTGTTTTTGTTTGTTATATGAGAACTGACTTTCAGATAGTCTATCAGATGAGAAAATATTTTTTATTTATTCTTAGACGAGAATTGACTTTAAAATGGACTACCAGAAGGAAACTGGTTTTGAAAAACTTGTTAGAACAATATTTGTTCATGACATATATCCTTTGGATTTTGATGATAACAAAGTATTGAAAGAACAATGATTTTATCTAATGTGTGTCCTAAGTGTGCAGGTTCTAAAGCTTAAAGAATAATATATTCAGAATCTGATATAAGGACGCACTAGAGAGAAGCTAAGTTACTGGCTTCTGGTGGCTCAGAATCTGATGAACATTCTTTAAGTGAAAATAGGTAATATAGGTTTGCGTAGACTCTAAAGTTGAAGGTCTCATCATCTGAAAAGCAATATATTGTCTCTAAGCTTATTGAATGTATCAGCTTCTGGTGATCATTCAGAACCAACAATAAAGCTAAAGTTATTCGTACTGTAGAAAGCAAGCTACATTGTTAAATCTGCTGTCAGCTATAGTCTATGTTCACAGGCTCAATAAGAGTTGACATGCTTTACGGATATCTACTCTCAGTGAATCTATAGTACAAGATCATAAGAAATACGCAATGGTTAGACAAGTTACATAATGCATCAAGATCTTTTGGTGTATCTATCTTCAACGTCTCTTATACTATGGAATAACAAATACGCTTGTACAAGTTATGTCTTCCAGCGACTAGTCCTCTAAAACTACTATATAAGTAGTTGAAGATTCAACATGGATTTTCAACAAGGAGCAAGGAGGAAAAAAAGTCAAGAAAGATTGAAGTGTTCATCGCTTCTATCAGAATGGAAGAATAATAAGATCAACAATAGCAATACAATCGAGTATGCAAATTTTCGGTTATATGTTGTAAATTGTACAAAGCCTTAATATTTCTTAAACATTTAATATCTTAAAAACCTTAGGTGTTGTGATCTTTGTCGTGGTTATTGCCTTGTACCTCTGATTATGTATCAAATACACATTGTTCTCTATTATGATAAACAAGTTGTTTAGTATTTTAGATAAAGGCATTTGTTATGTGCTTAAGCATAAAAGTCTCTTGTTGTGAAGCTTGAGCCAAGTAAGTTTCTTGTTATGTGCTATAGTATTTAAGTCTTAATCAGTTGTTGATTGAGCAAGAAATTCTTGGACTACAAGTCTGAGTAAAAGTCTTGAATTCGTGGAATATGAGCAAGAAAGTCTTGTACCTGAAGGGTATGAGTATAAGTCTTGAATCTGTGGGATTTGAGCAAAAGTCTTGGATTCATGGAATCTAAGTAGGAAGTCTTAGACCGAAGGTCTGAGCAAATGTTTTGAGCCTAAGGAGCTTTAGCAAGAAAGTCTTGAACTTGAGGGGTTTAAGCAGGAAGTCTTGGGTTAAGGGTTGAAGCAGGAAGTCTCAAGCTGGGGGTTTGAGCAGTAAAGTCTTGTGTTGGTGGCATAAGCAATTTTAATCATGATTTGATTATAGTGGAAAATCTCTTGTACTGCAAGAGGACTGAACTACTCTTAGTTTGGGAGGAACCAGTATAAATCTTTGTGTGTTTTATTGCTATTTATTTGCTTATGTTATTATTTCGCTGCAACTAATTATCAGAATCTGAACAATGGTTTAGAATCTGAACTCTGTTTAGAAGCAAAATAAAGAAAATGAATAACATAATTCAACCTTCTTTCTTGTGTATTTTTCACCTTAAGTTGGTATCAAAGCATGACATATTCATAACACTTAACAGTGGTGCAAATAAAGATTCAATGAGAAAAATATGTATGTTAATGATTTTCCTTCAAGAAGGAATTAAGTACCATATGAAAAATATCACTTTGTTAGTCCTCTCATATTCAGAGGTGACTCCAATGAAATTAAATGATTGAAGAGCAATATATGTTTAAACCATTGGTATTAATAAAGGGTTTTGATGAATGTCTATAGAATATCCTTTAGAAAGGTATTACTATAGAAGTTTATGGTGTATGGATGATCAAAGATTGAAAATCTCTCACACCAGCTCAGAAGAAGCTTTATGGAAATCTTTTTGGAGTTAGATGCATTTTGATGGGTGCTCTATCTCATTTTAAGTATATCAACATCATTGATATGTATAATATGCCAGACTATCTTTGAATCCTTGTGTTCTTATTTGAATGGAATCAGGTTTAAGCTTATTAAGTTGAACTTCATCTCATTTTTGAAGCAAATTCTAAGAATTTTGCATGTTGATATTAAACCATAAAGTCACATATATTCAAGAAGTCAAAAACTTGAGTAGACTAAGTCCTAAAGGTTTAATTAGAATTATTAAAAGTAAATAAATGGAATTAGATGAAGAAAAGTCGTCAAAGAGATCACTCTTTCCTAATTAGCATTACTTCTTTTGAAGAAACAATCTAAATCCAAGAATAAATCAATTATTAAAGAGAAAGAGGTATTGACTAATCCATATTGCTTCAATATTGATAATAAGGAGTTTGCATCTCAAGATATTATCTTAAGTGACTTCATTGCTCGTATGGAAATTGAAGGCTATCATAGAATTTGTGTTAAAGGACAATTATGTGAGAAACCTTTCATTTCTTCTATTTTCTGGCAATACTAAGACAATGCTGAAAACTTACCTCATGCCAACGTTTGATAACAAACATTATCTGGTTCTATGCTAGT